ACCATATTAGAATTCAACTTTCAAAATGAACCAAACAAAATTGAAGAGGAAATAATTAACAGACAAACAGCCAATAATATTATCCAATGTCTAGTTAAGAGATGCAAAATAATCATGCAAGGAGTAGGTTGAACAAAGCTGTAGTAATCTCCTAGGGCCCAAAATTTCTGGAGTCTTTCTCCTGAATAAAGCAGCAATTGGAGTGAACCACAAATATTATTCTTGCCATTCTAGGCCTTTTGGGCATGAGATTTTGAGCAGCCAATAATAATCAGTAGTGTCATTTTGTGGAGAAAGAATTGGCCTAGAGCTAGACTTTGCAAAAACCTTACCCAAAACCGTGGTACCCAAAAGATATGGGTAACTGGTGCATGATATATTACCTTATATTAGCTGGCTAAATATACCCAATGCAAATGTATTTCTATCTTCAGGACAGAGGAATTAATTCCTACTAGCGAAAAAAGATCTTATATACAACAAGAACTTACAATTTACTTTTGGCTTTTGCCTTATTTGAGTTCAACCCTTGTGATTTTCTGCTGCTATATAGTGAMATTAATCTTGCATTTCACATTCAGTATATTTTGGTTTAGAATGGGGTAGTCTATGGAGCTAACAGTTGCATTTCACAGAGTTTATGTTCATGGTGGCATTTCATCGAACAGTTGGGGGGCATCATCAACCTCGGTAATATTATAAACAATGAGCAACAAATCAAACCCCAGGCATAAAGCAAATACCAATGAGAAACCAAGATAGACACATTAGCATATTGAACTAATCATCTAACTATCAAAACTCAACAAGACAAGTAGATAACATCTTCGATCTACAAAAGAGTGAAAGACATAAACATTCTGTCATAAGAATTTAGAAACTTACCAGAAGTCTAAATGGGTTGCTTTCAACTAAGAGAGCTCAACACTTTGATCAAGAGACAGGAGAGAGTGAGAGAGTAGCAGTTTGATTTCGAGACAAACTCGTCGTTGATGCAGAGTTGGAGAGCAAGTTCAAATTGTGAAGGTGAAACGAGGTAGGGCAGCGTAGTAGGCGATGGAGGCGATGGAGGAAGCGATTGGAAGTCGCCGTCGATTGGAACTCGCCGGCGATTGGAACTCGCCGGCCGTCGACAAGAGGAAGCGATCGAGACAAACTCGTCGGCGATTGGAAGCGATCGAGACAAACTATCGGGGAAGGGTTGTTCTTCTTGCAGCCGGGTGTGGGGAAAGGGTAATGAAGGAAATAGGTTGTGTTCCACTTAGTTCCAGGGGGGTGGGATGGAACACGCGTGTCCAATGTTTAGCCAAGTTAGTTCCACTTAGTCCAATATTAGGCCACACCAAACACAGGACAAATGTGTTCTGTCCTGTCCTGTTCCACCCTGTCCAGCGTACCAAACGCACCCTAAGTGTCTCTTTTTCATTATGGACATTTATTGTGGGACAAAAGGAGTAGTATCTTTTTGTTGCAATTAGGGGTGTAATCGAGTTGAGTAGTAGGTTATTCGAGCTCGGCTAAGAAAAATACTAGGCTCGAGCTTGAATATTTTTTGAGTTCTTGAGCTCGATGCTCGTTTATAGGCTCGAACTCGCGAGCAATTAACGTGTTTATTGGCTCAAAGTTGGTATTTTCTATATTTTTATTGTATGATTTATGAGCATATGATCATGTTTGGCTTGAAAAAGTATATGCTTGAATGGCTCAACTCGACTCGAAAAATTTAAACGAGCCAAGCCCAACATTAGTGTTATGAAGCTCGGCTCGTTAAGTTAAGCGTGTTCTATTTTGTGTTCGAGATTGGCTTGAGCTAGAGATAAACGAGCTCGTGCTCGAGTAGCTCGTTAAAAGCTCAACTTATTTACACCCATAGTTGCAATACCGACAAGTTTATTGTTTTCAAGAATCAGGCTGGCCAATTAAACTCTTCTAATTGTTTAGGTTGTAAATTACGATTTTCTTCCCTGTCGTTAATAATTTCTATTTATGTCTCAGTGGTTTAGAAATTGCGATTTTCGTCTCTGTAGTTTGTAACTTCTTGTTATTTTTGTTCCTGGACCAATTCCTACCTTCAAAGTACAAGGGACCAAAACAATAAAGAATTGTAAACCACAGGGACCGAAATAACAACAAATTGTAAATCATTAGAATGAAAATAACAATGAATTATAAACCATAGGAACGGAAAGCGCAATTTGTAGCAAACCACATGGGCTAAAAACGTAATTTACTCGTTGGTTAGTAACACGTGCATTTCTTTTCCATTGTAGTCACTGCTCTGTGATCCAAACCCGAACTCACCAGCCAACTCCGAAGCAGCACGTTTATTTAGTGAAAATAAGCGTGAATACAACAGAAAAGTGCGTGAGGTCGTTGAGCAGAGCTGGACCGCCGACTAAGAGTCAACTTGCTGGCGGTTGCATCATAGATGCCGACTGGTTGCAACGCTAGCCGGGATCATAAGACCTCGGTTTCAGCGGCTTCTCTCTGAGTAATGTCATGTGGTATGTATCTCTATAACATATGCTTTTAGTAATAATTGAAACCAATTTTTATTTGCATTTTGTAGGGATTTTAAGCTTATTTTTTTTTATCTGTGTTCTGTTGCTTGCATTTTATAACTTTGTTGTACATAATGAGTTCTTGTAATATATATTGATCTGAAATTTCTCTTTTTCTTTTTCCTGTTGCAACTCGGCTCAAAAAAATTATACCAGGCTCGAGCTTGACTCGAGCTCGGATAACTTCTTCAATGTAGGTCTCGAGCTTGTGCTCGAATATTTTGAGTTATCGAGCTCGTACTCACAATCGATTACCTTGTTTATTGGCTCGGGGTTTAGGATTTTTATATTTTCATTGTATTGTTTATGAACATATGAGCATGTTTGGCTTGAAAAAGTATATGCTCAATGGCTCGGCTTGGCTTGACTCGAAAAATTTGATCGAGCTTTTGAACTAGCAGAGTCGAACATTGGTTTTGTTCGAGATCGACTTGAGCTCGAGAATTATTAATTTAAACAAGTTCTATTTGAAGCTCGAGTCACTAATCCACTAAGTGTTTGGGCCAACTTCTGCACTTTGACCAATCCCATAGGACTATGAAGCTAACGACTAGGAAAATCTCTAGTGGTCTGAAGGAGACTTATATCGACAATTTATGGGGAGAAGCCCAAGATCTTGTTTACACATGTCCAATTGTGACCGACTACAAATTAATTAGACGAATAATCTTTTGACAATTATTTTAAGGGATATGTTATATGCATCACTCCTCCCTTTTTTTTATTAACCTGGATATCCAACCCGTTATGTGAACCGACTAATCTCAAACTAATCACCTGCTTTGCAGGTAGTCCAGAGTCACCTCATTTGAAACTCTATGGCCATAAGGGGATTTTTATTCCTCCTTGGATTTGAATCTGGGACCTTAAGATACTTTTGATATTTGGAGCTCAAACTCAAACCAATCAGGCACTACATTTGTGGTTTGCATCCTCTGTTATGTCATAATCAAGGGAAAGTAAAAAGCAAGTCTTGATGTTGATGTGTGTGAGGAGAAAATTAGTAGTAGATAGAGGTGCATTTAGCCATGGCAGGCCTCGTGCCGTATAAAACTTTAACTTTGACTAATTCCATGGGACTCTGCAAATCTAGTGCTCCTAAGGAGAATCGAACCGATGATCTGTGGGAGAAGCCTCCAATGTCTGGTCTTTTATATACACATGTCCAAATGTGAGGATTGCAGATTGGGGTTATTTAGGAGAATGATCTTCTAACAACTATTTTTCAAAATGCATGATTTTCTAACAGATTTTAAGGCATTTTTGTGACCGGAATAGACAATTGAGTTGTTAGATAGAAACGATCTTAAGTTTTCTTTTTGAGCACGGGTTTTGGCAATAAAATAAAATAAAATGGACTCAAGTAGGGTTTTCTGTAACGTATTAATAAGCTATACCCATGCTACGGGTTGTTTCATGCCATTATTAAACTCGAACACTCAAGAAATTCGTTGGGCAGGCGGATTCACATCTCTTACAACAGACACAATCCTTTGAAACTTTTTACACCAACCTTTCACAAAATTCCCAACGGGCATATAAATCATGTTATACTGTTGGCAGCATGCTTAACACATGCAAGTCAGACGAGAAGTGGTGTTTTCAGTGACGGACGGGTGAGTAAAGCGTAAAAAGTTTTTTTTATGAAGTCTATCAAAAAATTATATTCCTAAATAACCCCTTGTGACTTGGACTTTTCCAAGAGGTGAAGTAAGGGTGTGGGGTGGTTCAATATTTGGGACCCTTTTGTTGGCAGGGTGAAACCAGGGCCTTGAGCCCTTGCCCACTAGCTTCTAGTGTCATTTATGATCCTACTATAGGAGTCATGGACCACCCCCCACCTCCTTTTGTCTATAAAATAAAGCAAAACATGTTATGAGTGATTATCCTATCAAGATGTTATTTTATGGTACTAAAATAACTGTCTATAATCATAAGGGTGGTGTCTGATTGGTTTGAGCTTGACTTCAAAGGTCAAAAGTATAAGAAGGTCTTAGGTTCAAATCCAATGAGGAATAAAAATCCCCTTGTGGCCACGGAGGTTCAAATGCGGTGACTTCGGACTATCTACAAAGCAGGTTATCGCCATGGGATTAGTCGGCTCGCATAACGAGTTGGATATCCAGTTAATCAAAAAAAAAATTGTCTACATTTTTATTTTAGGGGTTGTTTAGATGGTTTTACATTGGGCTTGTTTGTTAGAAGCTTGATGGGACTCATAGTTTATTTGGTCAGGTATACATGACTGTTTGGTAGTGGCTTAATGATATTGAAAGTGGCTTATTTGGTAAGCTTTTAGTGGAGAGTTTCATGCAAAAAACCAAGTGGTTGCCAAGCTACCCTCAATTAAAAAACACGCACCTTCCATCCATAAAAAACCCTCACAAACAAAAATCTTTGCAGTCTATACAAAGATATTAATCAACACATAGAGTTTTATCCATACATGACATAATGGACAACCAAACAGCCCTTAAGTCCTGTATGGATAAGGCTGCATGTCTGGGTTAATCTGTCTGTATAAATGGTATTTTTTAAGGTTTTTGCATAGACGGAAGAAATGTGTTTTTTAATTGGGAGTGACGGGTTTGGTAAAAACTTGGTTTTCTACAATTTGTATTCAGTTCACAATCTGATTTATGATCAAACTGGTTTAATTGTGGTTACGTTTTATGGGTTTCGTTTCGTTTTCCAATACAGATGAAATGCAAGTGTTAACCTAACAGCCATTGTATTTATTTGGGAAATATTCCCAATTATGCCAAATTATAAATTTAAAAAGTCAATTAAAATAAAAGGTATTGTAATTGAAGCTACATTTGACCCTTCAACCAATCTCTAATCATATGTGAATCATTTAATAGTTGTTTTATGAGTTGCATTAATAAACAACCTCTTCATGATGAAGACCCATTACCATTCATCACCATGTCATTGTCATGACCATGACCCATAATTACTATTTTGTAAACTATTTAGGTAAAAAATTGAGAATCTCTTCAATTTCGTTGGATTTGTACAAGACACCTGGCGTGCTTGGTTTGACCCGACTTGCCTAGGCGTTCTTGATAGCGTCGTGCGGACACAAGGCACCAGACGTGTTTGGCCTGACCTGGTTTGCCTAGGCGTTTTTTGATAGCGTCATACAGGCACAAGGCACCGGACGTGCTTGGCTTGGTCCGACTCGGCTTGCCTACACGTTCTTGATAGCGTTGTGTGGGCACAAGGCACCAGACGTGCTTGTCTTGTCCCGACTTGCCTAGCCGTTCTTGATAGTGTTGTGCGGGCACAAGGCACAGGGCGTGCTTGTCTTGGCCCAACTTGCCTAGTCATTCTTGATAGTGTCATACAAGAACAAGGCACCGGGCGTGCTTGGCTTGACCCGACTTGCCTTGAATTATTATTTTATACTGCTAAAAAATTAAAAGATTCAAGATTTTGGGTTTATAAATGTCTCAATTAAATGCATTTAAGTATCTTTTTTTGTAATTTTTGTTATATAAATTAAAAACGGAGTTAAATCTTTGAAAATGTGGATTGTAATAATTTTCTCGTGATCCCGTGTTTTCAAAAAAATAATAAAAATAAAATCAAAATAATTTAGTATAAATATTTATTTGCAAACATAAATTTTTAACATTTTTAATAACAAAATGTTTCCATTATCCCTTTATGATTAAATTTACATCATAATAGAGGTGTTTACTGGTTGAAATTTGCAATAGATTTATTTGGATCGGATCATCATTAGATGTCAGATTTTGCCTGTTGATCCAATCTGATTAACATTGGACAATATTCAATCCAACCCAATGAATGATTGGATTTGATTGATCCACCATTTCAACAAATTATTATTAGGGGGCGTTTGGTTTGACGGAATGGTTTTCAGGGTTTTTGGATTTCGTGGAAGGATTTGGAATCTTTAGTGTGTTTGTTTTGTAGGATTTGAAATTGTATTAAATTTCATTCTTTATGAATAATCTGTAACAACAAATTATAAATAGTTATAAAACAATTAAATTGTTTTTTATTTAATTGATTATTAGAAAACAAATGTTTTTTACATTTTTTTGAACATCATTATATAAAAATCCTACGAAATCCCGTGAAATCCCAACTGCCCCGGTTGGATTTCAAAATTCTATGTTTGATTGATTTCAAATCCAAACAATTATACAAATCAAACACGGGATTTGAATGAATTTGAAATCCCAAAATCCTTTCCATTCCTATAAACCAAACGGACCCTTATATTGTTCTAGTTCTTTTAGAAAACCACTATATACAAATTTCAACTAAAAACATCATAAAATACTCTTAGGGGCTGTTTACCAAACACTTACCCGGTAAGTGATTACCGGTAAAATATAACACTATTACTTATTTACCGAGTAAGATTTTAGTCCACAAAAACGACATCGTATGCAACAATTTACTCGGTAAGCGCTTACCGTGGTAAGAGTCGTCGTTCTTACTTACCGGATAAGACTCTTGGTCCTTGTCTCGCTCTTACCAGGTAAGATTCTTGGTTCATACCATATTAATTTAGTAAGAGAATATGACTTGGTAAACGCTTACCCGAATAACTGTTTGGTAAACGGCCCCTTAGTTACATTATTTATTAATCATATGATATTCAAGAACTAACCGATCCAATTTGGATGTTGCAATTTTGAATTCGATTCAACCCAATTATAATAAGTTGGTTTTATTGGATGACTTTCTACACACGTTAACAACTGCTATGTCTGTGTCTATAGAGGTGTTTCATTTACAAACCTAACCATTAGTATAAACCATACAAACCGATCTCAACCGTTCATCTAGTGTAATAAATATATGGTTCAATAAATATCTTGATTGTTTCATAGTTGAATATAATAAATAAATTCTGATAAAATTTCACAAATATTCAAATTATAATAAATAAATTCTAATCATTTCTATAAATATCTCAACTAATTAGTTTGTACTATTGGTTGAGTTTGTAAGATTTCTCCTATATATATATAGACGAAAGATCGTATGAGAATGAGAGTTATAATGAGACGTTTAAGAAGAATTTGGACCATTGATCACTTTTAATCATGAAAAACCCACAAATTACGTTTTGAAAAAGAATTGATCTAGTGTATCTCATTAGTGTTGATCTAATGTTTTTCTTCAATTAAGATTGATGTAAGGATGAAGACCACTTCTTACCATTCTCACTATAATTTCCATTCGTACCAGAATCCAAACACACACACATATATATATATATATATATATATATACATACATACACATACATATATAGATTAGATTTCAAATACAACCATGTTCATTTGTACAATCAATGCAACATAATTAATTGAGATATTTATGGAAATGATGAGAGTTCATTTACTATGATTTGAATATTTATGAAAGATGACTAGAGTTCATTAATTATGATCAATACTTTATATTAGGAAACAATTAAAACTTATATGAAATCACATATTGATCAAATTAAATGGACGGTTGAGATTGAGTTATATTGGTTGTACAAATGTAAAG